TATTAGAAATTATAAGTACAAACATTGTATCCTTTCTCTCCTCCATGGTATAATAGTACATGTACAACTACAAATATTATTATGTAAAAATGATTTAAGTGTTTAAGAAGTATTAGACCAAAAATTTCCAGTTTCTTGAGGCAGGAAGCGTTGGTGGTGGCTCTATAATAACAAGTATCCTGTGAACGTCAAGATAAGAAGAACTTTTAACATATTTCAAATCTTTACAATGAGAGGATAAATAAATAATACTAAATTAATAGGTGAACCATTGCATTGTAAGATGAATGCAATTAAGATTTTAAAGGCTATTTCTATGAAGTGTCTAATGTATTTTAGTCTTCACCTTTCTCACTCATGTCCAGTATGACTGTATTTGTGTGAGTGATTGTCAATTAACTTGTTAGTATTGAAAATATTAGACACATCTTTTGAGACTATATTCATTTCTTTGGGGTAAAAACACATATCCAAGCAAAAGGAACTACTCATTGCATACCGTTAAAACATTAAGGTGGTGTTGATGTGTTTCTCTTGTAACATGGCATGAGGTACAAAGACATTTTTTAAATTACTTCTGGCATTTTAAATTTGCTAAGGACATACTAATAATATAAGTTTAATATACACTGCAAAATTGGTGATGAAATGCAATTGAAAGTGACTAAACTCTTTTCACTTTATTATATTTTGCTGAACTATTCTGACTGGCAATTTTATTCTTCCCATCTAAGTAAATTCAGCCATGGAGAAGTGTCTCCATGGATAATAGATAGGTCAGAACAGTCATACTTATTTAAAGCATGCTTAGAATTAGTAAATTCGTATTATTTAGCAATAGGCTAGAAGGTGTGTGTGTGTGTGTGTGTGTGATATGTTTTATAATTCAATAGAAGCATAAAGAAACCTTATTTTCTGAAATACTACAGAGTAAAATTATTGATAACAACTTTCAGAAAATTTCCCTGTTACTATAGGAAGAGCAGTGACCTGTGTGTGAAAGTTCCAGCCCTGTCACCACCAGCCTCTAGCCACAAGCATTTCTCGGGCTCCTCATTCATATAAGATCATTAGATAATGAATAAGCTCCTTCTAATTCTAAATTTTAAAAAATGTTATGAATAATTTAGTGCTTGACAAACATGTGTCTTCCATTTTACTTGTAAAGCACATGAAAAACATACCAAAAATGACAAAGATTATGTTTGTAGTTATTTTAATATAACTGAGTTATATAATACACGTTGATTAGGATAACATCTGGCACATTAAGAATGAGTTGTTTGAAGAATGTGAATTTTATTAAATCCTAGAGTATGATTTCTTATGTGTGTGCTCACAATTCAGTTCTGTTTATAGTGAGGAGACTAGAATTTTCAGAGTTGAAGTTATCTTTAGTTTGAAAAAGCTGCCATGATTATTTATTCCACCCCTACTTCCCCATCCCCTGACACACACACATTGATAGTGATTTTCATTGCTATAAGATTAAGACTAACACAGATTCAGGAGAAATACAAATTAACAATTAGATCTCCAGTGTTGATTCACTTGACATGAGTCCTGAATCAATAATGCCCCAGTACTGTCTTTTACATGCATCTCCTGCTGTATATACTACACTGGCCCTTTTGCTTCTGTTAACGCCTGTCATCATAGCAGAGACTCTGCCAGGTATGGCTCTAGCTATTTTAGAAATGTTAAATCATTTCATCTTCTAAGCAAACCTAATGAGGTGGGAATTACTATTATTCCAGTTTTACAGATTAGGAAATGTTCTTGGGGAAGTTCTATGTCTTTTCCAAGCTCCAACAGCATCTCAGGGTGCAGCTCTATCACCTATGCTCTTAACCAGTATCCTCTCATCTCCCACCACATTTCAAGGAGTTTCACAGCTCAAGGTCTGACAATTTCTACTTTTTTTCACTATCCATGAAAAACAGTGGTAGTTAATTTTTAACCACCAGAGCATGAATCATCACAAATCTTACCTACCTCCATTTCTTTTTAAAATGCTAAGTGGCTGGCCTTGAAAACACTCACAGTGATAATACTACAAATGAAATACAGCCTTTCTTTAAAAATACTGTGGACTCTAGAATAAACAGAAGACATTTTGGATGTTTTATGACAAACAATCTGGCAAAAAGAAATACAGCCTTCAAGAGCCCCATTCTAACATAATCATCGGTCTGAAAGGGGCTGTAGAAAGTGTCTGTCTTAATCTCATTTGACACATGATGATTCTGAGCCCTTGAGTGTTAAACAAGGTAGGTCCTATCTACAGAGAGGAAACTAGAGCCTGGCTCTTTGGATGCTGAGCACACTGCCACATCATAGTGCTTCCTAATCCTTTTACAGTTTTGATCATAAATATAGAATTTGGTAATTTAATTTGCAATATTACGAGAAAGAATAAGGCATGAACTCATGCTTAAGTTCCCCAGACATAACTTGTGAGTTGCATATAGTGCATAGTTTAGTAGGGAGATTCCTGGTACTGTTGCACAGTTGTAGCAATTTGGACCTTGAGACTCAAAGGGAGGGCCTAAATTTAAGAGTAAGTAAAACCTGGGCACAGAATAAAAAGCTTCTGTTATTAGCACAGGGGGAAGGCCACATGGGAAAGGAGCAAGCTAGAGACAGAGTTGAAATGAGAACACAGTGAGAAACCAGCCATCTGTCCACAACCAGCAATGAAGCACAGAAAGTAACTGCAGGATATCATTGCCTTCCAAATGAACCTATACACAAAGCAGATTCCTAACATCAGTCCATTATTCACAAATTGTGTTTTGTTGGGGGGGCATTTATACAATACAGCTTAAGAATATTTTAAACCTAAATATTTAACAATGATAAAAAGCCTGGCCATTATTTTTCCCATAGATATATTAACTAGGATAAAAATATGACTTAGAAACTGAAAGATTTTTAAATTGTTTCCAAATGTATGCTTAATGCCTCACAATCTAACATTTATTGTTCATATAGTAAGATGGTATTACTTTACCTCACTTTACTCTGGGCTAAGAATACAGAATAAAAAAAGGTGAGTGGAGAATGAAAGTATATTAAAAATAAAATTTTGAAGCCTGGTTGCTTTTATGCAGTTATACTTGCATACTTTGTTGAGGTGTACCTTCTCAGAGACATTTATGTCACTTTCTCTCCCAGACTCCACAAATACAATGGGGCATAATATCCTTAAATAAAGTAACACAACAGAATAATAGTTTGCACAACGTTATCCAAGGAACTCAAAGTACTTTATTAATGTTAGCTCATTAATCACACCAGAGTGTGGCAGAGGATGAATAGATCTGCTGAAGCAGGGCAAGAACATTTTAGTCGGCAAAGTTGTAGTGAGACTCAAAAGTCAAATGGGAGGCTGGAGAGAAAATACCCAGGGACAGATAAAGAAGTGATGCCAAAGGAATTTGCTGTTCTATTCAGCACTGTATTAGTTCATTTAAAATGGGGTAACAAATTATGATAGAGTAGGTAGCTTATGGACAATAGAAATCTATTCTTACAGTTCTGGAGCTTTGAAGTTCAAGTTCTGGGTGCCAGCATGGTCAGGTTCTGATGAGGGCCCTCTTCTAGGTTATATACTGCCCTCTTTGTATTCTCTCATGGTAGAAAAGAAGCTGCCTGGTCTCTGCCTCTTTATATTGGGGCATGATATAGTTTGGCTGTATCCCCACCCAAATCTCATCTTCAATTGTAGCTTCCCAAGTACAGTGGGAGGGATCTGGTGGGAAGAATCATGGAGGCAGGTTTTCCAGCACTGTTCTTGTGATAGTGATTAGGTCTCGTGAGATCTGATGGTTTTATAAAGGGCAGTTCTCCATGCTCTTGCCTGCCACCATGTAAGACATGCCTCTGCTTCTCCTTTGCCTCCCACCATGATTGTGAGGCCTCCCCAGCTATGTGGAACTGTGAGTCCATTAAAATTCTCTTTCTTTATAAATTACCTAGTCTCGGGTATATCTTTATTAGCAGTATAACAATGAACAAATAAAGGGCACTAATCCTATTCATGAGGGCTCCACTCTCATGACCTAATTAACTTCCAGAGGTCCCACCTCCAACATCATCACATTTGGGACTACAGTTTCAACATATGAATTGCAGGGGACATAAACATTAAGTTCTTGACAAGCACTAAGTAAGATATTACTGAAACACTAAGTTTAATTGTTTGATTTACATTATGACTTCTGTTATGAATTTGTAGGGCAAACAAAAAGAAATAGGCACTTTTATGTTTAAAGATTGTAAAAAAAAAAAGACACCATTTATTAGAAGAAAAGTATGGTCATTAATTTAATGTTATAAAGTCTTACTCAATTATAGGTGGCTCCAAAAGTAGATCCAATGCCACCAATATTTCATTAAAAATCATGTGTTAGTAGTCGTCATGCTGAGGGTACAGATACAAAGAGAAACGTAACGTTATTTATAAGTCTGGGCAATCCTATGTGAATAGCAATGATTTTTGCAATTTCTGGGCAGTGGGCATATCTAAAGAGAACCTGTTAGTTTTTAATTTCTTCTATTACTTCTGCCCATTATATGGGCCATATCAAAACATGGTGGAGAGGAATCAGCCTTGTGGAAATGACAAAATGAAACGAAACACTTCAGTGGATGGATGGAATCTAGGTCATTAAAAGATGTTGTAGAGAAAGCCTGCCAACCCTCCTGGAACTTTTGTGTAGGAGAAAATTATGCTTTCTGACTGACATAAACTCCCATTATTTAGTGCCAGATAAAGAGGTTGAAATAGTACCTCAACCAATGTGGTAATAAATGCACATACATTGAGCCTGTGACTCTGAAATGTGAAAACATTCTGTTAAAGATACTTAGATCAGAATTCACACACAGGTTCACATTCAAAATAAGCAAAACAACATTCTGACATCTAAAAAATTATTAAAGACACAAATCTCAAGCAGTTTAGATTTAATCTTAGTTGCATCTTTTTTACTAACCTCCAAAGTAAGAGCCATCTGTCAGCTTCATTTCTTTACTGGATTTTGTAATGACACCAGCAACGCCGTGTTGAATGAAATACATTTTTTTACCCACGGCTCCTTCTCGAATGATATAATCTCCAGGTTGAAACACCTCAAATCTCAACTTGCTCAGCATGGCAGTCACAAAATTAGGATCCGCGTTAGCAAATAGAGGCATTGTAGCCACCAGTTTCCGACAGTTGAAGTTGACTATCTCCTAAAGATGTCGAGAGTAAAGAAATATTAAGAGAGATATTAATCATATCTGGAAGAAAAACATGCTGAAATTTAAAAAAATATATATAGCATAACATCGCATTTTAAAGTTAGATACAAAAATGCATAAATTCTTGTAATGTACATTACATCAAAGTCAGGATTGTGTTTTATTTTTGTGTAGAAATTTTGTATTTCCAGCACCTAGTATAGTATAAGAAAATATTAAATATTCAATAAATGTTAATTCAATATATAAAAGTCTCAACTTTTGTAACTTCCCATTTCTTAATTTCTGTGTATATGAAACCAGAACTTCTAAAATGTGAACACACTCTGTTCTTCATTTTATCTTTTATTTATGAAGAAAGAAAGCCATATCACTTTCTATTAGATATGACATTGCTGCTTCTGTGCTCCATTGTGATGAACAATCTAACTTGTACCTACTGGTGGGAATTCTAAAACAAGGGTCCAGCTGTCAGGCAAAAGCATTTTGATATATATATATTTTTGTTAGTGTCATTCACATTAGTGTGAGGACTATGAATAGTTCAGAGAAGGGTTACACAAAGGAGACTCTAATCTAAAATTATAAATTTCGATTGGTGTCGGCTAGAATCAGAAAATCACTTTTTTAAAAAGACTCTTGGGTTTTCATTGCAAGTTATGGGCTGAGAAGACATATTTGCCTTTTCTTGACTTGTTTGTTTTATTCCAGGATCAGGCCAATTCTAAAATAGGAGATCTGTATGTTTGATTTCATTCTGTGGATTCTGGTCAAGATTAGACATATTGTTATCTCTATGGGTGAAAATAGAAAAATGAAACTAAAAATTTTTAATCATGCAAATCAGTTATGTGATACAGACTAGACGGTGGAAATCTATATTTTGCCACAAAGCCACTTCTCAGAAATTTCCTTACCAATGATTTGCCTCACAAAAGATTGAGATAGCATTTGTAACCTTGTTTAAAAGGAATAGAAATTGGACACCTCTGCTAAGAGGTAGAAAGAAGGCACAAAGAATTGTAGTATTAACAAGAGTCTGATAAGTGTATCTTATGCCTTGGGGAAATGTGCCATACAGATGCATCAATTCTAAGACTCAGAAAGAAGGTTTCTATGATCTTACTTCATAAAATGACCTAATACCATCCAGGATAGATGAAGAATTCCAGCTGATAGAGAAGGCACAACATTTTGGATCTACCATGGAAGAAGTGTTTCATCCTCAACAATATCTTGTGAATTTAGCAAAGCACAGCAATGTCTGTAATAGTGGAGCTTCATGGAAGATGATAAAATATTACAAATGACCAACAACAATCAGAAAGTGAACATAAAAGCAAAGACAAGAGAAAGATATTAAACGTGGTATTTGGTGCAGCATTATTCAAGCCAAAATACACAGTTGACTCCGTGATTAACAGTATCTAGGGCAATTTATGATAATATTCGTTGATGTATAGTGTGTGGGTCTATAACAATGTTCAGCAATTAGTAAGTATTCAATAAAGTTGCACGCATGTAAAGGAAGCAGTGGAGAAGGAAGAAATGAAGGAGGGGAGGAAGGAAGGGGGGAGCAGGTGGGAAGGAAACAAGGAAGGGATGAAAGATGAAATAAGGAGGGGAGGGAGGAAGTAAGGAAGAAAGAAAGAGAGGAAGAGAAGGAAGGAAGAAAGGGATGAGAGAAGGAAAAGAGGGAGGGAGGGAGTCTTCTTTTTACAACTGAGACTCCATCTTCCTTCCTTCCCTCTGTTGAGCATGGGGACTTCCTTCAAAGAATACAATAAGGTAAAAGGGGAAAAGGAGTAACTTCACAGTAGAGAAACATGAAAAACCCCACCTCAGGCAGATGATCAATGTTAACATCAACAGTGCTAAATCATGTCAGTAGCATGTATTCTTGGTATAATGTAATCAGAAGGGCATTTTACCTTTGTGGCATTCCTACACCAAACCCTTAATCCCAGTTAATCATGACAAAAGCATCAGCACACCCAAATTCAGGAAAATTCTATATAATATTTGGCCAGTGCTCCTCAAGATGGTCAAGATAATAAAAAATAAGGACATTTGGAACAAACTGTCTGAGACAAGGAGACACGACAATTTACCATAATGTGGTTTCCTGGATGGGATCCTAGGACAGAAAAAAAGGACTTTAAATAAAACTAAGGGAATCTGAATAATGTTTGAACTTAATAATAATGTATCAATGTTGAGTCACAACCATAGTTACTACAAACATAGCATACTAACGTAAAGTATTAAAAATGGGAAATTGTATGTGAGGTATATGGGAATTCTCCATACTATTTTTGAAACTTTTCTGCTGATATCGTCTGGATGCTTGGAACTCCAAGTCTCATGCTGGAATTTGACCCAATGTTGGAGGTATGGGAGGAGGTGTCTCAGTCATAGGAGAGAAGAGCCCACATGAATGATTTGGTGTTGTCCTTGAGTAATGAGTGAGTTCTTACTCTATTAATTCTTATGAGAGCTGATTGTTAAAGAGATCCTGGCGCCTACTCTCTCTTGTCCTCTCTCATCGTGTGACATGCAGGCTCTCCTTCCCCTTCCACCATGAATGAATACTTCCTGAGGTCCTCACTAGAAGCAGATGCTGGTGCCATGCATCTTGTACAGGCTGCTGAATCATGAGACAAATAAACTTCTTTATAAATAACTCAGCCTCAGGTATTCATTTTTAGCAATGTAAAATGAATTAAGACATCTGCAAACATAAAATTATTCTAAAATAAAAAGCTTATTAAAGATGTAATTACCACTCTTCACAGTCGATATAAATATGATATTTTGTCATAGTATGTAAAGCGTATTTTCTTCAAGTTACCTCATTTAAAAGTTAATTTTAGTACATACTTGAAAACAATCATATTATAGTTCAGTTTGAGTATAAACAGCAGGCCTGGAATGTGTCTGTTTATATTTCTGTGGAGTTCAAAATTGTAGTCTGTCAAGAAGACAAATTGTGTGTGTGTATATATATATATATATCATGCATTTTCAATCTCATATATTTCTATTAAGTTTTTCTTTACAAACACAAAATCTGTAATTATTTCTATATTCCATTCCATTGGTCTATGAGTCTGTTCTTGTACTGGTACCATGCTGTTTTGGTTACTGTAGCCCTATAGTATAGTTTGAAGTTGGGTAGCATGATGCCTCCAGCTTTGTTCTGTTTGCTTAGGATTGTCTTGGCTATTTGGGCTTGTTTTTGGTTCCATATGCATTTTAAAATTGTTTTTAAACATTGTTTTTTTAAAACAATTGTTTTAAAAATGTTTTTAAAAAAAATTTTAAAATTGATTCTTCCATGAGCATGGAATGTTTTTCCATTTGTTTGTATCACCCATGATTTCTTCGAGTAGTGTTTTGTACTCTTGTTGTAGAGATCCTTCACTTCCCTTGTCAGCTGTATTCCTAGTTATTTTACCCCTTTTGTGGCAATTGTGAATGGGAGGTCTTCCAAGATTTGGCTCTTGGCTTGACTGTTGTTGGTGTACAGGAATGCTAACACAATTTTTATACATTGATTTTGCATTCTGAGACTTTACTGAAATTGCTTATCAGCTTAGGAAGCTTTTGGGCTGAGATGATGAAGTTTTCTAGACATGGGATCATGTCATCTGCAAACAAGGATAGCTTGACTTCCTCTCTTCTTATTTGGATGGGCTTTATTTAGTTCTCTTGCCTAATTGCTGTGGCCAGAACTTCCAATACTATGTCAAATTGGAGTGGTAAAAGAACATATCCTAGTCTGGTGCTGGGTTTCAAAGGGAATACTTCCAGCTTTTGACAATTTAGTATGATGTTAGCTGTGGGTTTGTCATCTATTGCTCTTTTATTTTGAGGTATGTTCCTTCAATACCTCATTTATTGACATGAAGAGACATTGGATTTTATCAAAATTCTTTTCTGCATCTATTAAGATAATCATGTGGTTTTTGTCTTCAGTTCTGTTTATGTGATGAATCACATTGATTGATTTGTGGATGCAGCACCAACCTTGTATCTCAGGGATGAACCCTACTTGATTGCGGTGGTTAAGCTTTTTGATGTGCTGATAGATTCAGTTTGACAGTATTTTATTGAGGATTTTGTATCGATGTTCATCAATGATATTGGGCAGAAGTTTTCTTTTTTTGTTGTTTCTTTGCCAGGTTTTGGTATCAGGATGATGCTTCCCAAATAGAATAAGTTAGGGAAAATTCTTTTCAATTTTTTGGGAATATTTTCTTTTTCTTTTTCTTTTCTTTTTTTTTTTTTTTGAGATGGAGTTTTGCTCTTGTTACCCAGGCTGGAGTGCAATGGCGCGATCTCGGCTCACCACAACCTCCGCCTCCTTGGTTCAGGCAATTCTCCTGCCTCAGCCTCCCGAGTAGCTGAGATTACAGGCACACACCACCATGCCCAGCTAATTTTTTGTATTTTTAGTAGAGACGGGGTTTCACCATGTTGACCAGGATGGTCTCGATCTCTCGACCTCGTGATCCACCCGTCTCAGCCTCCCAAAGTGCTGGGATTACAGGCTTGAGCCACCACGCCCAGCCCTTTTTCTTTTTCTTATTGCATTTTAGGTTTTGGGGTACATGTGCAGAACATGCAAGATAGTTGGATAGGTACACATGTGGCAGTGTGATTTGCTGCCTTCCTCCCCTTCACCCACATCTGGCATTTCTCCCCATGCTATCCCTTCCCAACTCCCCCCCTGCTGTCCCTCCCCTATTCCACACAATAGACCCCAGTGTGTAGTGCTCCCCTCCCTGTGTCCATGTGTTCTCATTGTTCATCACCCGCCTATAAGTGAGAACATGCGGTGTTTTATTTTCTGTTGTGTCAGTTTGCTGAGAATGACGTTCTCCAGATTCATCCATGTCCCCACAAAGGACACGAACTCATTGTTTTTGATTGCTGCATAATATTCCATGGTGTATATGTGCCACATTTTCCCAGTCCAGTCTATAATC